ATGAAATACATTAAAAGAAATAATCTTGAAAACCTTAAAAAAAAACCAAAAAACAAAGAGAGAATCTATACTGAGTGGGCAACCAGCTACCTCTGTGACACTCCGTTTTCTTGTTACTATCATTACTTTGGGGTTTGGGGTCATAACACCACTATAACACTACTGGCAGAGCTTCTGAATTACAAAGGAGGCAGCTTTTGTGCAATGCATGGATTTGAGTTCAAAATCCAGCTTTGATACTTCCTAAGCAAGTGGCCATGGTTCAAACAAATTATCTTAATGGAATCAAATAGCAAGCTCAGATCTCTAAACTTGAAACCCAGGGCCTGAAAATGAGCACTGCTATTGCTTAAAATGGCCCAAGGAGAGCCCCCTGAGCTATGGCAGAACCATTCTGGCCATTTGAGTTTGAACCCAGATGGTCTGGCTCCAAAGTCCACATTGCTATCTGCTAGGTTTGGTATAAATGAGCACCAGGCCTTGCTGTGACTGAAGTCATCAATAAGTCATCAATAGAAAAAAAGGCCACATTCTTGCAAGAGGATTAGGCTTCGAGGTTTTATTTGCCAAACTACTTGCTCCTGAAAAGCTACAAATGACCCCAAATTTCCTGCATTGGGTTTTAATATGATGTTCTATGGGTTGAGCTAAAACTGGATTATGTAGAAAGTGCTTTATAAGTCCAAGGTGATGACCAGACAAAGCCGGGCACCTGGTACCCAGATCCTTTTCTCTGTCCCCACCAGTGATGGCCCACCTGCTCAGCCTATGTGGTCCTGTCTTTACTCTACCCATGAACATAACTGGGTCTCCATGATCTCTGGAACAAAGTGAAAGAACAAGCCCTTCAAATGAAGAAGGTGAGTCCTGTAACAGTTCACTTTACTTGCACATTAGCATCTTCATCTCTAAAGTGAGAAGGTTGGACTTGATTTAAAAACAGACAGGTAGGCTAGGCACAGTGTGCCTGTGATGCAGCAGCTTGGTAGGCTGAGGCAGAAGGATCGTGAGTTCAAAGCCAGCCTCAGCAACTTAGCAAGGCCCTAAGCAATTTAGCGAGACCCTGTCTCTAAATAAAATGTAAAAAGGGCTGGGAGTGTAGCTCAGTGGTTAAGTATCCCTGGGTTTAATTCCTGGTACCAAAAACAAAGCAACAACAACAACCAAAACAAACCCAAACAGCTAACACTATTGAACTCCCACTGTGTGCTGAGACCCTTGCCAGGTGCTGGGGTTGGGTGATGAAAGAGACCTTTCTCTGTCTTCAGGGGCTGCCTATCTAGGAGCGCTCCTGGGGAGTGAGGTAGTGGGGAAGGGCCCTTTCCTCACGTGGATGTTTTGTGAGAGCAGGCAAATCCTAGCAGAGCAGGAGGACCTGATGGGGGAAAAGAACTATTGTCCTGCTTACCTGCCATGGAAGTGATGCCAATACAGGCTAGTGGTGACTTGTGTCAACCTTCAGGTCACAGCAGGCTCTGCTGTTCATTTATACCTAATCTAGTGGGCAGAAACTTGGGCTCTGGAGCCAGATCATCTGGATTCAAAATTGGTTCTGTAGTCACTAACTGTGTGCCCTTGGACAAAGTGTATTTAACCTCTTTATCCATGAGTATATTATTTGAACCTTTCTCATAGGATTGAAGATATAAGAAACAGGGATTCCCTCCCCTGTTCCTTAGATGACATGTGTCCACCTCTCTACCTCCTCCTGTTCACCATGCTACACAGGACTGTGGGAGAACAGCCCAGTCCAGGTTCTCCATCCCTCCTCAAGCCCATTGCATGGGACCCTTCAGAGGACAGCTGCATCCTCCCCGGGCCCCACATTGTGCAAAGCCAAAGGGAGGTGCAGAACCAGACACAACTTCCCGCCACCTGTCCCCACCTGCTACACAAAGAAGCAGGGGAGATTGCATCAGGGGCTAGTAATGTCTCTCATCCAGGGAGTGTTGGCTTCTGGGTCCTCTTCCCAGCCAAATTCTAGAGGTCAGAGCTGCTCAGCAGTGAGAGCAGAATGGACTCCTGAACCCGCACCCAAGACCTGGCTCACGCTGGCAGATGACCTTTAACAGTTGGAGCAAATATAGATGTATCCTTTAGGTTAAAAGTTGTCCAGATCCTCTCGGTTAGACGCCGGAAGGGTCCCTCCTTCTCTAACATCTGGAGCTGAAAGAGAAGACCATGCAATTGAACACTGGGGAGTGGCTTTAAATGCACCTCAGTGGAAATAACTCCACTAAGAATGGCAGGATGACCAACTCCAGAGGCCTGTGAAGAGTGAGGGAGGCTCTAGCGAGAGGGAGAGACTGACAGGTCAGTGTCCAAGCCCTGGTATTGCCTAAGCTGGGATACCTTCACTGTGCACACGAGGAAACAGGGCTTTGGGCGTTACCCCTGGCCCAAGGCTCCATTGTGGTTAGTGGGGGGGCTAAGATAAGACTCTGGTGCTCTGGTGTGTGAGTCCAGATCTCCAACCCTACGGCTCCAAGCCGTCTTCCTCACTAACCCTCCTTCTTTCAATCATCTAGCAGCCTGGTGCCCTCTGCTCCAGCCTGCACTTGTGGATGTTACTGTGACATCAGTGGCCTGATGGCATTCTTCCAGAGTTTTATGGCAATGCTCATTACTGGCGATCTTCCTCAAGGCTCTCCTTCCTGGGCTTCTGGGACATTTGACTCCACCTGTCAACCTACTTTTCCCTTGCAGCCTTTTGGGTCTTTGGTTCCTAAGCATGTTCCTTCCCCATGGCTCTGTCTATGAGGCCAGGCTATAGCTATTTATTCCTTTTCCCCATCCACTCATGCAGACTCAACTCCAAGGATAACCTCTCTGGCCAGGTCCTAAGCCCCCATCTCTATTTTCTGAGGTAACAGATTTTCCACAGGACATGCACACCCAACTCAACCTTTTGAAACTGAAGCTCCCCATTTTGGTTACCCCATGGCTTCCATTCTGATTGACCTATCTTTGACACTTATATTATCCTCCTCCAGACTTAGGGTTCCAGCATTTTCAGTGTCTGAAAAGTCCTTTCTATCCCTTGATCTCAAATAAGGATTTCCTGGTTATAGCCCTTCCAATCACTCATTCCATAAATATTTTCCAAGCATATTCTCCGACAAGGATTGGTGACAGGTACTGGAGGCTCCATGGTGGAAAGATGAGTTGAATCCTGCCTTTGAGAGGCTTCTAGTCAAAAGAAGGAAATAAAAATTCAAATAGATAATCATGCAAAAATATCCATATCATTTCTACTGAAGAATAGTGTAGAAGTAAAATAGTATAGGATGACTGTGGCAGTGTCTTATGAGGGCTGGAGGCCAGGGACATCCTAAACATGGGATATGGGATAAGGTAGCAAACACATCTCTGCTTTAGGAATTCCAGGTCTCTGGGGAGGCAGAGTACCCAAAGATGTCCACATCCTAATCCCTAGAATCTGTGAATGTGCTACATTGCATAGCAAGGAGGAGTTAAAATTATAAATAACACAGAGGTTGCTATTAGCTGACTTCAAAATAGGGAGAATTTTCTGGCTAGTTTAATCTACTACTGAGTTTAATCTACTCCCTGGGCCCTTAAAAGTGGAAGAAGGAGATAGATGAGAGCCAGAGAAAGAGATATGATAACAGAAGCAGGGTTGGAGATGTTTCATTGTTGGCTTTGAAGATGGAGGAAGGGAGCCATGACCAAATAAATGTGGGTGTCTTTCTGAAGTTGCATATGCAGGGCTGGGAATATAGGGTAGTGGTAGAGCACTTGCCTAGTATATGTGAGATCCTGGATTCAATCCCCGGTGCAAGTACACACACACACACACACACA